TTTTCAAAATAAAAATGAACACCCCAGATGTGGCAGACATCTGTGACAGCCCAAGATCTTTAGAGGATAACCACATAACATACTATGAAGTATCTGAGATTCAAATGACCCTTTAAGAAAAGCATTTAAGATGCTATTTTCATCTATTTTTTCTTACCGAAATTCTCATTACTCAACGCCAGGGGAAGTCCTTAAGTATTGAAGAAGAGCTGGCTATGGTAGTGGGCTTCCAGCAGCCATCCATCCACGATACCTCCTACAACACAATCCAGGATAGAGGGTGGTCCATTAAAAAACACAAGTGCACTAGTGGGGGAAAGAAAGGGAGGAAATTAATATTCATTGAGCATCTATTTTTTTAATGGGCACTCTATTAGTTACTTAATATATGCAATGGACACTCTATTAGTTACTTAATATATACATCATACTTAATCCTCACAATAATTTTGTGGGGAAGGTTAGCAGCATTTCAATAACCTGCCCTGGCCCCATAGCAAGTATATGACAGCCAGGATTTGAGACCAAGGCTGTTGATTACAAAGGCCAAAGTCTTCTTATTACATTATGTTCCTGAATAGACAAATTCTAGAGCCATATTAGTGAAAAGTAGAAGCAACCAAATACATGGATTCATGTAACCACTGATTGTTAATCTAATTTACAACAGCAGTAGTTACTTCTGCAGACATTGAATAGATGTTGCCAGTCTTTGAAGGAAATCATTGTTAATTGAAACATCATTTGAAAATTTCAGGCTGGGTGTGGTGGCTCACGCCTGTAACCCTAGCACTCTAGAAGGCCAAGGCAGGAGGATCACTTGAGGTCAAGAGTTTGAGATTGGCCTGAGCAAGAGTGAGACCCCGTTTTTACTGAAAATAGAAAAATTAGCTGGGTGTGGTGGTATGTACCTGTAGTCCCAGCTAATTGGGAGGCTGAGGCAGGAGGATCGTTTGAGTCCAGGAGTTTGAGGTTGCTGTGAGCTAGGCTGACACCACAGAACTCTAGCCAGAGCAACAGAGTAAGACTCTGTCTCGAAAAAAAAAAAAAACGGGGGCGGGGGGAAATTTCATAAGTAAGAAAACTTTATTTTTTCTAATTCAAATCAGGTGAAGAATGTGAAGATTATACATTTCCATATTCAACTTTTATGTCATTAAAACAATT